AAAAAGAGAGAGTTTAAATTTAAAAAAACCCAAGAATATAAGCAAAAATATTCTCTGGTGCTCGCTTTCTGGACATGTGACAAGAATTATTAATATTAGGAGTAAAATAGGGTTAGCTTAGGGATATTAGCTTAGAGCTGAGGATTTCCTTTGAAGCAGCACACACAAAAACAGGCCTCCAGTCCATTGTGTCTGCCTTCTGTTTTAAATGTTTCACTGTCCTACAGATACAGTGTTCTTTTAGCAAGTATGTTTAAGGTAATAATTTAATATAGCTTTTCAAAAAACAAAGATATTGAGATAAATATCCTCCTAAACCATAAAGAGAACAATAAAGATACACAGAAGAATTTGATAGTAGGCTGAGTTTTCTGACTTAAAACTTATGTCATTCTCTCCTCTGCAAAGCAGAAACAAAGTATGTTTAAATTCTGCCAAAAGCAAAATGCAGGTACTCGTATCTTGTACCTATTGACTAGGTCAAAATCTTCAGACAGGAATGTTTTCAGTTCTCAGAGGGAATTCCCAGACAATGACATATGCTATAATCAACTCATACTAGAACCTAGAGCTGCGTATGGGGTTGTCAGGGATTTCTAGGTGCAGTGACAATCCACCTATGGCTATTTTTTAATGTCAGGTATATTTCCCAACATAGATCTTCAAATATGATAAGCACTTGTCATATATTTTGACTTAATACAGAAGTATAGAAAGAAGACTCCTGGTTTTTTTTAAGCATTATGAAACCTCTGGGGACTGCATGCTTGTCAATAGTTCAATTCATTATGATACAGCATTTAAATAAAGTATAAAAGTCTGCAAATGCATCCTCTTCCACAAAATAATAGCCTTGACCACATTTTCCTGATAAAACAGAAACCAGACCCAGATCTATTTAGGTGGCTTAATAGACAAGACAAATATTTAATTACCAATTTGAAACTGTTTATCAGTTACGAGCAGTATGCTGTCTGTACTGCACAGCTCTGATTAGCTGTGGAAAATGCAGAAGTGGAAAAAATAAAAAGGAATTTACAGATATTGGTTCACCAGTTTTATGGATCCTGTGCAGCTTGTTGAGTTGCTATTTATTGATTAGTCTTATAATGCCTTCATATCTAATTAAAAATTCAGGAAGGGCTCTGTGAGTAAGCAGTAGGCAATGTCTGGTCTAAAAAAGGAACTACCCAGTCATAGAAACGAACTGGGAATACCAGAAGCTCCATCTGTCCTGAATAATTACACATTCACAAACTGTTTTGCATGGTGCAGTATTTTGTATGTTCAAAACACTGGAATAGCGAATAGAAATGCAGTTTGTCTAGTAATTTTATAAAATGCATAGAAACCTTTTGATGGGAAGAATTTCAAGATCTAAGCTAGTCCTTTCCTCCTGGTCTGAGGTACGATATCATAAACTCTCTGATTTTAGGGTTTCTACAGTCTCTCTAAGTAATACGTGCTAGCGCTGATTAATGTTATAGTTTAAAAACAGTTTTACTCCTTTAATCACCAATTACCTTTTCTTCCAGACTAGTTCCATACTTCTAAATATTTCCATAGGTGTGTTTTCTAAACCACTGCTGTTTACACAGCACAGATAGTAGTGAAAAAGCAAAAAATATATACAGATAAAATATTATTAAATGTACAAACTATTTAGTCATTTTAATGAAATGTTAAAAGTTCCATTAGATAAGTTATTTCTTATCAGTTGGTCTGTGACTTTCGAAGAAAATTATTTACATGAGAGTGTTCAGTTTGGAGAGAAACAAGCTGGCAATTCAGGATGACTCACTTCAGATAAGAGAAACCGACAAGATGGGTTATAATATTGCAGTTGCTTTTTTCTGCTCTTATCAGGATTTGCTGACTGATCAGGGACAGAATTCTGACATCTGGCCCTTTCAGCTAATCTTATATTACTGCGGCGCATGCAGAGGAAGGGCAGCAGATAAATAGATGTAGTCACTTCAGCAAGTCCGTGAGATCTCATGAAGCTCACACAGAAACAGTTCCTGTCCTTCTCTGTCCGCAGTTCAGCCCAGACCTCAGATGTTCAGCTATGGCACGAGAGAAAGAGAGGTAACAGGGTTTGTAATGACTAAGTCTCAGCCATCCTTTCTGATTCTCTTCTCTGCTCCAGTCACCAAGAAAGCATAACCCTCAAGGACTAGAATGTGTTAGTTGCTGGGAGATATGAGGCTGGAAACAAGAGATTGTTTTGAAATGAAGTAAATGCATATATGGAAAGTTTACTCCAGTTTCAAATGCCTTAAGGCTACTCCAAGGCTCCTTCTGTTCTGTAACTGTTCAATCTCATATTCTCTAATTCTCCCTTCTTGTGTTCAGGTTTCTCTGGTTTCTGTTGTCATCTAAATTCAGTTTTGGGGAAGAGTTCTTGGAAGTATAGTATAGTCCTCTTTCCAAGATTTCATTAGTCCTTCCAATGCCTCTTCCGCTGTACCTCCGCTCATATCCCCACGGAAACATTGACAGTGGTACTGTCATTAGTTTGTACTTAAATTCTGTTACACGCAGAACTGCAATTAGTTGCATGAAGTCTCAAGACTTATTTTGGCTATATGGGCATTCAAACATTTAACTTGTGTGCTCAGGCTGCACATAGGTTGCTAATAAATCTATAAGCTTGAAATATTTTTATTTTCTTTTGGGGAAACTACTGAAAATGTGTGCCTATGACAGAGTAATTATAGGTAGAGCATGGGTCTGGCTGAGGATTATTGGACTTAATGTAGTTCCCAGCATGGTAATAAGGCACTTAGGTAAGCAATTAACAGTCTTCAGGCCCTGTCAGCTTTAGCAAAGTATTTGTAGGAAATAGACCAGATTCATGATAACCCCTGTTTTGTTGGATTTGTTTTTTTCCTACCTTCTGATTATTTTGATACTGCACCTAGATCAATATCAAATATAACTTTCTTGCATATCTGCAGTCATGAAAAGAAGAGGAGCAACAAAAATCAGGAGAAATATATACACAGGACATTTTTCCAAGTTTTATACTCAACAGTTCTTTAAAAGCAGCTCAGCAGGCTGGGTAGCTTTCACGAGCATTTCTTCTTAGGAATCAAGTGATTCTTTGCTGCTTTAAAGTGCATGGTAGCTGCTACTTGCTTTTCTTTACAGCAAATTGAAAGAGCTGATACATGTAGTTTTATTAAAAACTACTGATGCAACATTATGGAAGTACTCCAGGTGAGTACTACAAGCTCAAATGGCCATCCCCTGAAAAAAAAAAAAAAAAAGGTTTTCTTTGCATGGGAAAGTGTCTTTTTGTTTTCTGTGTTTTACTCTTGGTTTCCTAATATGCACTTTCTTCACGTTATTAGAACATTAGCGAGTGCTTTTGATTCACCAGTGCAAGATGCACTGAATCAGTGCATCTGAAGCTTGTAGCATGTTAAGATTTTATTATGTTCTATCTTTGGCCAAAAAAGAGCCATTCCCATTAGGTAATGGCTCAAGCAGAAAAGGAAAGAAAATGAGCAAATAAAAGAAACTTGAATTATGGCTGAAATAAAGTTAGTTTTCAACCTGGGCAGGATGAGACCTTAGACCACACTTGGGTAGACTGCTGTCTTTTGTGCTTTGCCTGTTGCAGGGCAGTGTGGGGTGAGATGTATTCCTGTTTATATTTTTGCTTTGAGAGCAATTTCACCATGTCATGTGTAATGGTAGTTACTAGCAGTTATGGCTTGCACACACACTACTGGTTTTTCCTTTTTTGCACCTTTATTTTTATCTTCTTGGGAAAATGAGAAAGGTCAAATGCTTTCTTAAATAGCTGACTAAATATCGTCCTCAGCTAAAATGGCACAAGATGCCATAAGGCAAATGAGGCTGCAGCTGGGAGGCTTCATTCCATTTTTGCCGTGCTCATAAGACTTAACATGTCATTGATGCTTAATGTCCAGTGATTCAGGAGTTGGAACTTGAATTAATTCTCAGCCTCCTTGTTTGCACTCCGGTGTAATGCACAGCAGGCTCCTCTCAACTCTAGCGTATCTCACTCTCCTTTTGAATATGACAACAAAGCTGACCTTTTAGAAATAAAATGGATGGGGATATTTCTGAGATCAGAATTAGCACAGATGTCTGAATTTAAATCAATATATTTGCCAGAACAATAAAATAAGGTAAAAATCTAAAGCAACCTGAAAAGAAAAACTGCTTTCATTTCACTGTTCTTCTTGAAAGTAAGAAATCAAAGACAAAGGATATCATGTCCATACAGGAATATTAATAAGCAATTCCTCTTCACATTCTTTCTCATGTTCACTGATTTTCTTTCCACTGAGAAATAATACAATATATATGTCTAGAAGAATGTATTTTCCTGCTTACTTAGTAGGGTTAAAATTGCTATTTTTATTAAACACTGAGTACTTCTTCAGATGTCATTTTAAATTCCACTGCTTGTTTCCAAGGAGATAGAAATATGCAGGAAAATCATCTGAGACTCTGATTTGTAAGGCTGTTCTCTTTAATGAGAGCTGAATGTGCCCTGTTTAAAGAAACAAAATAAACTTGGAGCTGCTGTAGTAAAAAGGTTGGGACTTTGAATTTCATTTCTGTGCGGGCCTACTTTCTGCTTCTGAAAGTTGGAAAGGGATTGTAAAATATTCAAATCAGTATCAGATGATCATTTGGTGGCTCAGCTGTGCTGTTTTCTACTGAGGCAGGATAGGAAGTTCTCTCGCTCACCCAGCCCTTGTAGTAACGGCTTTCTCCTGATAGTTCTAGGTATTTCTTGGAGGACAAGAATGGATAGTAGACAACAATTTGTTTTCTTCCTGTGAGTTCTTCTTTAGAAATACTAAAACCTGGATGGTTCCATAGGTATTTAAAAACCTGAAATTATTCAGTGAATTGCCAATGCTAAATCCTAAACAGAGATGTCTTTTTTTTTTTTCTTTCCTTTCTGTTAATAAAATCCTAAATGAATCTGAAGGTAAACAGATCAGTTGTCTTACCTGAAGTAGTCTTCACCACCTCAGTTGTATTTCTTAATCCTGTAAAGGAGAACTGGTAAAGCCTCCAGGACCTGGTGTCCCCCACCTCCACTGAGCTGCGCTTCCATTGGTAAATGATCTCTTCTCTTGGGTAGCCATCTTATTGCAATGGAAAATACAGAATGCTTTGTTTCATAGTCATTGCTAGGATTTTAGTTTACTTTGGGGACTAAAAATACCGTTTTCTGTTTCTGGAAAAAGCTGGAGAAGTACGTTGCAGGTAAATTATAGATATGTTTTTTCTCAGGTTACTTAGTAGTGTCTTTTACTTAATGTCATATTTTTTTTTAATTAAAAAAGCACTTGAGATAATTTTTTTAAAAATGAGTTTTCCACTTTTGTGGACTAAATAAGATACATTTTTTTCCATCCTTCAATTATTGCTAAAAAGTCTGCAGCTGGACCAGGAATTCACACCTTGACCTGACTGCAACTTGACTTGACTCCAACTATTGCAATAGTAAAACACCCATGTGCAGAAAGTGTCAGACTGTGAGACTTGATGCTGAAAGTAAAAATTTCTACTGTTATGCTAAGATGTAAGCATAAATTAATCACATAGGTCCCAGAAATTGTATCACTTTTATATAACATTCCTTATTTATATTTGTGAACATATATGATTCACGTGCTTGAAAATAAGGTCAAAATAAAACTGGAAACCATAGTTAAGAACATAACCCTTGCTAACTCTAAGTATGTAAATATAAATTTATAGTAAGTGATTCAGTGTGGGTCAGAAAAGGGGTATTTCTAAGCATGTTACTTACAGCTTGAGAATTCCAGGGGACAGGAATGGACATCCATTGGGAAGTTGTGTAACTGTAGCTGACACTCGGCATCAATAGTCAGCCTGAGGAGAAAGAGATCAGGATATACAGAACGCACTTGAGAAGTTTGTCCTGAAAGCTACATCATGGCAAGCAAAATGAGATTCTTACTAATATGGAACCTGATTATGAAATATGCAAATGTTAAATATATATCTCTCAAAAGCGAAAGTAAACTATTGATATGTATGCATAAATTTGGATATTCCTAACGTAGGAAGACATCATGGTTACTGATAAGCAGTGTTTCTTTTTTGGTTACATAAGCCCTGATCATCTACTTTCTGGATTGTGTAGTAGAATCAGGTATTAAAGTTCTGTTCTTATGCATCTGAAATGGCAGCATTACTCATGACTGGCAAATCCATAAGTAGATATACAGGTCATCTCATGAGCCGTGACAAATCTTTGTGTCACAACATGCCATGATGCACTAGGGAAATGTATTTTACGTGATAAAAATTCTATTTCAGAAATGATGGATGGGAGTCCAAATTTAGACATCTGCATCCAAGACAGCCGTCTAGACTACCTTCAAAGCTAGTGGAGAGGCGCTCTGAGGATACGCTTCATTTCGTTCCAAAATAAGACATTTAAATTAAACCAGAAGAAGAATGTACCAAAAGGTCTTTCTGTCCACTGAATATCAGGAGAGTCTCCATGATAACTCAGGTGGTGTAGGTGCTACAGATCAGGTAGAGACCTGTACTTTTAGAAATCCAAAATTAAATAAGATGTATCCGCTCATGTGCCTGCTAAAAATTCTACCATTTTTTATTCTATCTCTTAATTGTTGCTAGCCCCAGCCCTGCCATGAGCTGCATGGTACTTGGACTTTGGAAAGGAGGGAGGAGGTGGGGTGAGAGAGAGAAAAAGGAAAAGGAGGAGGAAAAAAAAAAATCAGAATGATGTCTATTTGCTTCATAAATCTCCAGGAAAACTGCAGGTTTCTGGTCTTTGCTGATTCCTGGGCATCCAAATGAGCAACCCTGTGAGCTGGGTTGGTCTCCTGGCTCCTGCATGTAGGTGCTGTGTGCAAATACTGCTCATACTGTGGGATCCAGAGGGATGTTGTGACCACTAGCCACTAAGTTAATGAAGTCAAAAGGAAACTTTTCTGCATTATGGATTTAGGAACAAATCTAATTTGCTTTGAAACTAAGAGACAGGTGTTTGTGACACAGGAGAGCTGATTCTGTGTGCTAATATTATTGCCCTTTCTTTCCTCTTATTTCCATTGTCTTCAGTTTCATTTCAAGATAATCATATATGGATCCAAAAAATTAAGTTCTTTCTTCGATATTGCCTTTTCTCTGGTGAATATATTTAACACTGTTTGAATTTGAAATAGGCTCAGATTTACTGCTTTTTAAAATTTGTTTTCTCTTGTGGAATTGAGTAGATTTCATTCCCCAGCACAAAGCACAATCCAGACTTTGAACATCTTCAAGCATGGAGTTTTCTGGCAAGCTATTCTGCTGTTTGACCGTTCTCACAATAAAAAAAAAAGTTTCTTATGTTTAAACAGAATTTCCTATACTTCGGTTTGTGCCTATCGCCTCCTGTCCTGTCATGGATACCAGGGAGAAGGTTATGTCTCTGCCTTCTTTATCCCTTCCATCCCCTGCCTTCTTTACCCCCACCCACCTTGCACACACTGATAAGATTCCCGGAGCCTTCTCTTCTCTAGGCTGAACAGTCCCAGCTCCCTCAGCCTCTTCTGCACATCAGATGTTCCCAACCCTTCAGCATCTTAGTGGGCCCTCACTGTGCTTGCTCCAGTGAACTCCTATCCCCTCTGTACTGAAGAGCCTTGCACTAGACCCAGCACTCCAATTGTGTCTCACTAGTACTGGGCTGAGGAGAAGGATCATCTTCATCGATCTGCTAGCAGTAGTCTTCCTAATGCAGTCCAGAATGCTGTTTGCCTTTGCTTCAAGGGCACTTGTGGTGAACATCCACCAGGATCTCCAAGTCTTTTTCTGCAGGATGCTTTTCAGCCGGTCAGCTCCCACCCTGTACTACTGCATGAGGTTATTCTTCCCTTTGGTCAGGATGATATTTTCCTTTGTTGAACTCCATGAGATTCCTGTTGGCTCATTTCACCAGCATGCTGCAGTCACTCTGAGTGGTAACACAACCCTATGATATACCAATCACTCCTTCCAGTTTTGTATTATCTGCAGACATGCTGAGGATGCGCTCTGTCCCATTGTCCAGATCATTAATGAAGATCAAAACTGGGGAGTACACCACTAGTGACTGCATTCCAGTTAGCCTTCATGCCACTGACCCCAACCCTTTGAGCCTGACAGTTCAGGCATATTCAATCCACCTCAGTGTCCACTTATTTAGCCCATACCTGAGGGTCCTCCACCAAAGGTAAGTCTTCCTTGCTCTACTTGCCTACTGATCTCGGGGACCTGAGACTGCTGAAGGCATGGTTTTACCACTAAAGAGTAAGGCAAAGAAGGCATTGGGTACCTCAGCCTTTTCAATGTCCTTTGTGGCAAAGTCCTCGTTCTCGTTCAGCAGTGTGCCTGCATTTTCCCTAGTCTTCCTTTTGCTGAGGGTGTATGCATAGAAACCTTTCTTGCTTTCATGTCCCTAGTCAGATTTGACTCCAGATGAACTTTGACTTTTCTAACCCTTTCCCTGAGTGCTTGGACAGCATCTCTGTATTCCTTCTGAGTCGCCTGTCTCTGCTTCCACCTCTACTATGTTTTCTTTTCACATTTGAGTTTTGCAAGGACCTTTGTGTCGATCCATGCCGACTGCCTGCCAACTTTGCTTGGTTTCCTGTTGGTCACTATGGACTGTTCTTGAGCTTGGGGGGAGATGACTGAAAAAATCAGCCAGCTCTTCTGGAGCCCTCTTCTCTTCAGGACAGAATCCCTCATCTATGATGATACTATCAAATTTCACTTCTGGACTAATCTAGGTTGAATCCTTACTGGTGCTTGCTGTGACTCACTGGAATAACTAAGTATACATTAATAACTGATGGTTGTTCTGAGTTCTGCAAGATATCCCTTTTTCTAATCAGAGAAACTGAGGGGTTTGAAGAGAAAGGTAACGAAATCCAAGGAGACGGTAGTGTAGCTAAGTCCAGATTTAACATTTCAAAAGTGGACCTACGATCTTCTTTATCAGACTGACTTTGCTTTGCACTGAATTTCAATTCCAATCATTCTCTTCCTTCTTCTGGTGATGCAATGTGTAATGAATGTAAAATAACTGAAATAAAACTCCTTTTTGTAATTCAGACAGTTGCAAAGTTACAAGGTTGTCTTAAGCAAAGCTTCAGATCTATTCATTAACATTATAATGAGTGTACTTTTCTTCAAAACTATATTTTTGGCACACAATAAAACCAAAGCGGAAAAAGCACTTTGAAAACAATACAGTCTAAAACTCAAATGGTCTTATGTCTAACATCTTTGATTCTGTACGCTTATTTTAAATCACAAATTCTCTTGAACGAGTGCTGGTTTTATCTACATTTTACATAGAACAAAATAGATCACATGTAAGAAAAGTGAAAAAAAGCACTTAGGATTTTCACATTTAGGGAGTATTTTATGGTCATTGGGAATATGACATTTGAGTTGTTACATATTGCATATGTTAGACAAATGTAGGCATATGCATAATTTAATTATTGAAAAGACGTAATCTGAGACATAATCTGTCTCAAAAGAAAAGCTGTACATGTGACTGAGAAATCTGGAGATAAGCATCCAAAGTTCAGATTCCTGAAAACTTTAGTGGAACAGGGCATATCTGTAGGTTTTGGATTAAACCTTAAATGATCAACATTGAAATAATAATCTTTATTTTAATGAGGTATTTGAGGAGTTAAATGCTTTTGCAGACTGGAACTGCATCTAGATAAATTGTAATCAATTCAGAATAAGAGGCTCGATGTATAGAATACCTCTTTTTATACCATTTGCTTAATTCAAGGATATTTTGAATTCATCAGTTTACCTTCAAAAAAGGGTAAAAGGTGATATGGACCAAACCAGTGGTAAACAATAAAACATACCAAAAAATGAAGATGAGTTACTATAAAAATGGTTGGATTCATTTTAGTATAGGAACGTGACTATTGTGGAGCAAGACAGTACAATTTGTAAAAAGAAATTATTTATTGTGCCAATATAAAATAAATTGCATGCAAGTAATATCTTCTAAATATTTCCCCTTTTCAGGGTTGTATGCCTAAGTAAATAGGAAACAACAGTGGTTTTCCCTTCAGGTTAATGTCAAATGAGCTGAATTCACAGAACCCCTCTCTTTGGCTTTCCCTAGAGAAACCAAAATTAAATTCAGGTATAAATACCTCAATGTGTACAACACTCTGCCGTCATTCCAGATCCTGAGCATCCTATTAGGAGTTGTTATCCAATGAGCATCTGCTTTCTTGGAATTTCGGAAAAATGTATCTGGTATCCAGATCTTCCCAACCATGTTGCTGTTTAATCTGAGCACTTTGATAGTGCTGTTGAACTTCAGACGTCTGTCATACCACGTTTGGGCGAAAAATATATCAATTGTATATTCCTGTTGTGTTAACCAGAAATACTGATGAAAACATAGCACTCAGCATTTCACATAACTCCTGATATGCTTTCCTTAATTTCATATGAAAAACATATGATCTAGAGAAGATGATGCTAGAACTGATGAAACCAAATTTTTGCCAATTTTTGATGGCATGATTTAGCAAAGATTTTAGTTTAAAATCAATTTATTCTGTCATTTTCCCACTGACTGATGAAACCAGGATGCAGTTGAGTGGTATATGTACCTTTCTAATTCTTTGTCCCCACACCTCAACCTGCGCCTGATCAGGTCAGAGAACAATTACTCATTCCTTTGGGTCTAGGACAGGAAAAATCTGAGCTGACTTGGCTGCCTTAATTGCCTGTGTCCCTCAGTTAATATCAGTGGTGGTGAAGTCTCACTTTCCCTGACACCACTGGGCAGCCAGGAGCTGCAAAGGGAATTACAGAATGGAAAAAAGCAATTTGAGATTTCTTTCTACACATGAAAACTACAAGAACAAAGCAGACATTGTGCTAAGGCTAGATCACTTTCCCTCACCTATATGAAGATATAAGTACATTTTTCTGTAGGAACTTTGGAAAGAAAGAGAGAGGATCTAGGCTTTTTTCTCTTTGTCTCTTGGTGGCAAGAGTGGTGATATCACTGGTGAACGGCTTCCTTATTTTGTAGCAATCTGGAAGCTCAGTTTTACAGAAGTTAAACTGTCACAAAGCACTTGAAAGTAGAGCATGTAAAAGTGTAAGGATATGTTAAAACTACTATTGTTACACTTTTTTCAGCATAGATCTCAGTTTCCCTGTCTTGTAGAGATTCATAGCTCATGTAGTCCTCGCATCCATAATAACAATGAGATTTAAAAAATAATATAGATCTAGTACAACATTAAAACTAATGGAAGATTTGTAACGCCAAAAATTATGAAGGCTTTGTAACAAAGTGAACATTGTAGGAAATTGGCAATCATTTACTTACCATATTGATAGCATTCACAGGCCCGATGCTATTTACATACATGTCAGTGTGAATTACTGTCGGTTTAACTGTGAGAGAAACAAGAATCAGTAACATCAGTGAAAGTCAAAATCAACTATATGAAAGTCAAACACGAGAAAAAGTTTTTTAATAAACCTCTTTCGTATGGCTATGGTTGCCTCACATTTAAATGTGCATATACAATAAATATAAATTTGCAACAACGTCTCCGGTTTGAAATTAGTTGGAGACATTTTGAAACAAATTCTTATATCATTTATTCTATCAGAACAAGTTCACTTATGCTACGATAGCAGATACTGAAACCAGTGTCATTATCTTAGAGTGAGTCATACCTATCTGAGAGCATGTCTGTTTTGTGTCAGGTCACAGCAACACACCTGACAAAACACTATCAACAACAGCAAACTTCTCCTTCTTATGATGTCTTGCATCAGTCCTTTTACAGTATAATGCCGAGTGCAACATGACTGCTGTTGCCTGTAGAGATGGTTGTAGGTAAGTAACCATTTCATGGGCCCAAAGCAAAAGTAATACTCAAGGCTCGAAAACAGGAATGAAAAAATAATTGTTGCGTTAATTTATTTTGAAATTATTCTATTTTAGCTTTATGATTCTTACACACCTTGACTAAAACATGATTTTTTTCCAAGATGCTTTTATGAATGCTTAATTCCTTTCTGTTCTCTAAAGTCTTGGATTGGGAGAATAAGACAAATTCCTCTACTAATTTACACTATATACATATATTGAAGGTTAAATACTCATGTTATCCCTCACTATGAAAAACTCCTTAGTTTATAAGCTCCTATAAACTTGTTAGAAACAGCTTCTTCATTAACCCTGCTGCTCTCTGCTTTCTTCTGCCTCTCTCATCCATGAATTCTCTGCATTTTTCTGTAATCTTGTTACTGCTGTATCCTCTTCAACAAAGGTATTGTCTGCCTGTTCTGTGCACAGCTGAGGCCTTCAGCTACTCAGGGAGATTTATCTCGAGCTCCCTCATTAGTCGGTGGAGAAGAAGATTCTTGCAAAGGTCATTCAGGCAAGTAAGATTTCCATTATCAGTCCAAGCTTGGATCTATGTAACTATATGAGCTATGGGGCAAATCTAGACAGGTCGGCCTTACTTGGCTGCAGTTATCTTTAGTGAACCTCTTCCTCTGTGCCCCATTCCCCAGTCACTTCTTGCCTCACTGAGCAAGTGAGAGCCCACGCCGCATCAGTCAATGCAGGCCTGCTGCTGTTAGAGGCTCTCTTTGTGTCCATCACATCATGCAAGGATCAAGCTGCTTTATCCTCATTCTGAACTCCTTTCCAATATATTATTTGGGATTGTCTAACACCCTCACTTAGATATACAACGAAGACAAAAACGTGCTTTTTCATTTCCCGAAAGTTAAATTCCGAACTTCCTATGCAGGCGCATCATTACAAGCAACCTGATTCAGCAAATCACAACAGTTTTATTAGATGTCTCAGGATAGATATAGCAATCTTAATTTATGTGAGCTTCCAAAATCATGACTACTTTTTGTGCCTCTAATGTTTTACTACATTGTATTTTGTTGTCATAACTACTTTGAATGGATTCTGTTTCCTGTTTACCATAATATGGTATGAAAATTCTTTTTCTTCACCACTTAATCAAAGATGGTCTAAAAAGAAAACCAACATACCTCCTATGTCAGGTCTCAACTTGTTGTCATATCCTTCCAGCAAGCCATTTAAAATAAGAGTGACGTCACTTTCATGGACTTTGGGAGTCAAAACCCAAGTCTTATTTGAAGTGTAATCTTCATAATCATCATCTCCCTTTTGGGTGGAACTGTTGAAGAAATAAAAATGAAGAAATGGAAAGTCTTGAAAAATAGGAATTCCTAGGCAACCTCTTCAGCAACAATACAAACTTATTTTAGGTTTTAATTGTACTGTGCAAAACATTGAAAAATTTCCTGCTTTATAAAAGGAGACTCACAGTAAAGATGTCACATAACAGTTGAGGTTACAGTTCACTTCAGCAACATTTCCTTTTAGTACAGCTGAGATCATATTCTGTCTATTTAAAGGAACATCAGTGCTTATCACCTTTGGCATGCCTGTTTTTTCTCTCACTGACTCAGGTGGGACCTGTTATGAAACAAATCTAATTGTCACTTAGCTTATGCAACTCTCCACCAAAATATCACTTAGTATGTACACAGTGTTGTTGCATTACTTCTCTCTTTGAGAGAACAATTTGATGCAACACATTAGTGACAAGACCAATAATTAGATTCATTTGAACAAGCTGTCACATGGCTTTTCTCCACTCTGATGAACTTAAGCTTATTGTGCATTTGGAAAGTTCAACACAAATGGTTTTCATTTTTCCTTTTGTTGACCAGAACCCAGAGAGAATAAAATCTGTCTACTGTTTTTTTCTGCTACTGAGCAGTATGACAGCAAATCTAGAATAATTCAATCTGCTTAGCATAGTAAAAAGGCCAAGTTCGGAATCAGAAATGTGTAGACTAGCCTTATTGGAAATTTTGTTTTCTCAAAGTCCGTACCTCTAGTTCTAGAGGAGAACATAGAAATTACTTCAGAATATGACATCATCAGATGTTTCAATTTCAGAATGTCAGTGGTAATCAGCTGAATGGTGCTGGGCAACTGTAAGTTTTTTGCATAATATCCCAATGTCCTTCTTTCCTGATCTGGTTGTGTGACCAAGATTGAACACTATTGGATATGAAAAATCTTAATGATACTACAAATACCTTAAGCTCGCAGGTGGAGTTTGGATACAAATGGGTCAAAATGAGAAAATTTAAATATTATCCTGTTTCAGCCAGAGGCTGTCCAGAAGTGCAAAAGAGCACAACGAAATAGATCCTCACAGGGGCTGGAAGTCATGCTTGGCACACAGTACTGAAAGCAGATACAGCTCACCATGGTCATGGGTGCAATAGTGAAGGGATGACTAGTCCTGGCATCTCAGAGAGCCATTCTGTTAACACAGATCTTCGCTCGACTGAGGTCTTGCCCACTCCTCAGGGAGGGCTCTCCTGCTGCATCCTGCTTACACCTACCCAGAGCAGATGGCCTGAAGGCTTTCCCGTGTTGGGCATTTGGGAGCTGTAAGCCAACTGCACAAATACAACTTAACTATGAAAGAGGCTTTAGCTTCTTTCTTCCTCATGGGCACAGCCTGTCAGGAAAGAGCCACAGCACATCTGTGCCTCTCTGTAAAGGCTCTGCTTCCCAGGAGCTGCTGAAGTACAGTGAAATTTGAAGCAGCCTGAGACTGTGCATAGGGCTGTAGCAAATAGGAATGCAGAGCATGCACGAGAGAGCCAGTCTTGCCTGGCGTTCAATTAAGCTTGGAAGCTGCTAGGAAAGCTGGGTTAATCTGTGCCTTCATTACCTGTACGGAGTGCCCCTGACTGCAGCCTCCCGGCACCGCCTAACCCACCCTGCACCAGCGGTACACACAGATCAAGAACAGGCAACCCAGCCTCCTCTCTCTGGCTACACAGGCCTCAACCTGTAGTGTTGTACTGGCAATCAAAAGTGGAGTTTTATTTGGCGATGTGCTACATAGTATTCTGCTGGTACTGACAAAAACAGGCCAGGATAATTAAATTGTTGGGGGAAATTTGTTTATTCAGCTGTCTGAAGTTCAGAGATCTAATTGTAATTCAAAAGAACGTGACTGAACCGAGGTCCTCCCTCCTGGAGGAAAGGAAATGCTTCTAAATAAAGCCTTTTCAAACAGAAGGCACTAGCTTCTATGTTTTCAGTCTGTGCAAAGTGAATGGAAAAACCTAATTTTATGTATAAAAAGCCATACTCCGGTTTTATAACCAATTAAACATCCATTCCTCAAATAGTTTTTCTAAATGGAAAAGAAAAAGTAAATCAAATACATTCTTTCACAAAAGCAGTATGTTCCTGAATATTAACGTGACGAAAAAGCTTCAGAAGTCAAACAGCTAGTATAGACTCTGGTGTACTGGACAGTGCAAGATTGGAAGATGAAAAAGTATGTTTGTCTAGGACTTGACTCAAATCTAGAACAACCTTATTGAACAACGGCCCACAGTCACTGAAACTTCCATTTCCTCTTGGTAATTATTTGTAGGAAATAAGTAGCTATTTGTTAGCTCATCTGCCACTTCAAGCCGTTTTGGTACTCCAAATCTCTGAAAACAGCAAATGTTTTATGATATTAGTGTGAGAGAGAAGAGAGAGAACACAGCCGATGTAACTAGGGAAAAAGACCACTGAATTACAGCTTTTATCGGAATTCCAAGTGGATCATAAGTTAGCATGGCTATCCAATTGTGTAAGTGTCTGTCTCCGTAAAACTGCGTACCAGCCAGGACAATCAGAGGTGCATCTCTATCCAGATGAGCAGGGCTTTAGCTGTGCAATGCCATTAGCACTAATGAAAGTTACAATGACAAAGCCCTTTTCATCTCCTTAAGACTTTCAGATCAGTCCTTTTGATTATATGGCCTAAATTTTGCAAGTGCTTTTCATGTCCAGAACAAATTTGATAAAGCCCAGATTATACCCAAATGCATACTGAAATCCATTCTTGTTTTTAGGACTGCTAGAAGTTTTCCAATCTAGTAATTTAGGTATGCAAAGAAACACATATATATCTATCTGCAGATTACAGAATAGTTTTTTGAAGGTTAATGCTTCAGACATTGATACAAAATCTCAGTGTTTGAGATATTCCCACTTCTTACATTAATGCCATTGCAATATGTGTGCAAGACTGCTCTACGTAAACCCACTTTCCTGATTTGGAAAAGAAATGGCTTAAGAGGGTCAGAATCCAAACTCGAAATTTCAAGTTGTAGAGTAATTAAAGTTAGAAGGTGCTTTTGGAGGTCATCTGGTCCAATCCCAGCTCAGTTTGCCAGCTAAGCCTGCATAATCACACCTAACATCAGGGAGGCTCTTTGTATGTGTCAAATTACTTGAAATACGCCTTCAGAAAGCAAATAGAGGGCAAAAATCACTATATGCTAATAAGCATTTATTATTTTACATCAGAAAGTGCATTAATTTGGACTACAGGAATATTTGTGGGGGGACAACATTGAGTCATATTTTTAAAATTTCTTTGATAATATGTGCGAAGATCTATGACCTGGTATCTCACTCTACAATTACATACAAACCTTGTTCTAACAATGAAGTTTTTACCATGGAAGGGGCTAAAAAGTTTTAACTCATGCTTTTTATCTTTCTCACTATAAAAAACACATACAAATCTTAATTCTGCTTTAAAGAAGTTGTTACTTGATTTATAACATTTATGTAGCTCTTTCGAGTGCTCGTTGGTGAGGTGTAACTTTAGCACAAACTGAGATTACTCGAACTGTATGTTCAGGATCAGATTCTCCAGATCTTTGCTAATGAACATCATAAATGTAAGTTTTTTGCAATACCATTGGGCAATATTTAATTGTTCATGGAGCAAGTGTAACCTCTGTGGGCAGAGGAACCTACTGCAGGAAGAATTGGGTTCATCAACCAAGAGATAAAGAACTAATGAAAAGATGCTCCATTTCATTGGCATAGCCTCTTTTACAGACCCCTTAGAGATAAAGGCCTTCTTTCTACACTGGAAATATGTTGAAATAGTGAAAGATTAGTTCAGTCAGTCCCAGAGGGTATCTTTGCTGAGAAATTACTGATGCATTAGGAAAATATTTTTTTTTCCATGCTCTTTTCTGAACCTTGTCCAGAAGACAGAGCAAAGCCCAGTAGTCAAAGGTTTCATTAATATACTGACACACTATTCTCTTAGCAGTCCAAAACCATGGAAGTCCACATTAAAGTTTGGAAATCCATTCCTCTTTTTAATAGGTTCAGTACGATTTCTTTTCTTTTTTTGCTTTCATTTCCATGGAAGTAAGATTGATACTTATGTAAAAATAATCATAAATTTTAGTAAAATTTAACAAATACTTATATTAATGGTATTTAGCTGTCTTACATTATTATCCTTTCAAGCCCTTTGGCTTAAATTCTTGGTTCAAAATTGAAAGTAAAGGGCAAATCATCAAAAACTACTGTGTTTTTGTTTATTGCTAACATAAAGTCAGCATTATAACTTTTGATGATCTCTGCTGTTCTGTGACTTCTCTATATCAGGGACACTCTAATGTAACTTCCAGAAGAATCATACATAGCGTTTTTAGAAAAGACACTACCGTATGTTGTTAAAGATATACTATGCGTTATTTAAAATCACAGATAGCAGCAATAATTGTCCAGTCTAAACCGAGGGACAGACTGGGCACATCTTATTTCATTAGTGAGCAATAACTGACAAAGGATATCCTTTTGAAATAAGGTAAATATTTCCCAATCCACAGGAACATGATTCTCACAACCGGTTACAAGTAGTAGAAGGGAAAACATGCTCTTCCCTGACACAAAAACCAACAACAATTCCTCATGATTTCAACATTCAGATGTGAGGTCATATATTTAGCTGGTCAAAATCTCTGTCATTCCAGTGACTTTAAATAAGATACACCAATTTTTATCTGCTGTGGCTCTGTCCTTTAACTCTTCTAAATATATAAAATGAATTTTAACTATTTCCAAGTGTTCTATTAAGAAACTTCTCACAAGAGTCAATTATCCCTGCTGGAATCTGCCTACTGTTACCTTGTCATTTACAAGCAGAATCAAAGTAGCCACAAAATGCCTCAAGAAAAAGACCTGTAGCAGTACTGAATAGCCAACAACTAATTAGTTTAACTCTAATTAAAAACTTAAGTTTGTCAAAAAAATCTGACCACTTTCATCTTTTATAATAAGTAGGCTACAGAAACTGCAGAGCCTACAGCAAAGATTTAATAAACTACTCACGCATACAGTGAGTCTTCCACTTAAAGCACCGATGTTTTCTACCTCTCAGTGAAGGACTGAAACAAGGCTTGTTATTTTACCTACCAGCACTGTTTAACTTAATGAATAGTCAAGCTAAATTCATCCTCTGATGTGCATAAAAAATTACCCTAATCTATAGGTCATACATTATTCATGATGATGATAATACAGTCACTGTGAGGGAAGGATGTATTCCAAGTTCCCAGTGTGGATACAGAGATGTT